AAAGCAATAACAAACAAACAAACAGGAAATAGTGCCATTGCTGCTGAACTCGGCTAGCAGATTTTGTTATGTCTTAGGGGACAAGTTGGGTGAGCAACATTGGCTGGAGAAGGACTGGCCTGTGAACTGAGAGCCCCGTGTCTAACCACAGCCACTGGGAACTGCTCTGCACGTGCCCTCTTAGATCAGTGCTGGAAAGGTATAGAGGAAAAGCAAGGATGGGAGTTCATGGGCCCCAATCCTGAATTTGCACCAGTTGGGCGCACGCCACTTTTCCTTCCTGGGCCTCAGTTTTTCTATCTGCATAATGAGGGGGGTTGGAATTCTTGTTATTATGAAATGTCTCTGGTTGCTGCTGGTCAGGCCCGTCATCACCCAGATGACCTCTCTCCTCACTCACTCCATTATTTGCATTGCTCCAGTAAAAAGTAACCACTGTCCAATTGGGGTTGAAGGTAGTCACGTCTTTGAATATTTCTGTTAACTGTTGGTGTTGACTCATCTAAAATCCTGTGGGCAAGTTGTGATGATTTTGCCTAAAATAAGGACTCTTGGTATGTCTCAAACCTAGAATGATGATTAGTGTGATCATACATACAATTCTTTCTTTCATTCAGTGAACAGTCTCTGAGAATTGACTTTGGGTAACAGTATTGCTGGAGAGAAGACTAAAATGAGTAAGACACAGTCTTACTACCTTATATTGCTATATACACATCTATGAGAGTACGTAACAATTATACAGTGCTCACCTCACTATGAAAACTGAGCCTTGTTCCAAGTACTTCATAGATTCTGATTCATTTAAACCTTCCAAAAGCCTAGAGAGCCAGTGCCAGGGTAGCCTGCTTTCCACAGAAGGCAGTGAAGGCTCAGAAAAGGTTAATGCTTCGTCCAAAGTTAGTCATTTAGTAAGTGACAGGGTTGCTACAGTGGCCCTGTGTGCTTTCCCACTATGCTTCATTACTTCCTAATTCAAGAGAGTATGCCTTAGATGTGAGAGGCTCAAATCAAGCAATATATGGACCCAAGAAGTGGAAAATTGCCTCTTGATGCCCAGTAACAGGAGAGGATGGGCTCTGAGGTTCGACAGACCTGAGGAAATGGTTTGACCTCTGTTAGCCTTAGGTGACTCATCGATGAAGTGGAGCTGATAAAGAATCAGCCCTGCCTCACAGATGGAAGGATTAAATAACTTCACATATTTAGCGCACTCAGGATGGTGCTTAACACATAGTACTTGTATAGTAAACTTTTAGCTATTATGTTATCCTCATCTATGGGGACAGGTGGAGAGGAATAGGCTGCAACAGGATTGCATTCTGAGGCTTCAGTGGATGAACCTTCGAGTTGAAAGTTGATTTTTGAAACCAAGCTAGCTCTGGGTAGAAAAATGTAAAATTAAAGTCACCAGGGAGTCTCCTTGCTTGACAAGGTAGAGTTTGATTTTCCCTGGTCGGGGTGGGGGGTGGGGCGGGGGGGGGGCATTGGCTCTCAAAAGCTCTGTTAGAATGAACTTCGTACCTGGAAAGCATAACCTTAAGTCACTATCACACTTCGACTCCCTAGATCAGTTGGATTCATCAGATTAGCCCTCCAAAGTATCAGTGCTCTGAGGCAATGAGATAACGATCAGTTTGCTGGCTATTAAGAAGACAGATGTGGAGGAAGCAGGGCAAAGACAGAGCCCTTCCTACCTGACCAGTTCCAGGAGGCCAGAGGCCAGACTCCAAGGTGGGGATGGGGGTAGGTCAGGCAAAGGAGGAACTTAGGTTCCATGTGCACCTACTATAGAGGGAGACTTGCTAAGTACTTTATGTGCATTATCTCACTGAGCTGCCCACCTATAACTCTTTGTTCCTGCTGCTATAACAAAATGTCAGAGGCAGGGTAATTTGTGTACACTAGAAATATATTTCTCATAGTTGTAAAGGCTGGACAGTTCAAGATCAAAGCACCAACAGGTTTTAGTGTCTGGTGACAGCTTCCAAACCCTTTTTGCTTTCGATATGTCACTTCGAGGAGGCAGATCTCTGAGTTTGAGGCCAGTCTGGACTGCAGTGTGAGTTCCAGGACAACCAGGGCTATCCCAGAATAAAAAAGCAAAAGAAAAGAACATCGGATTATTTCCTTCAACCTCCTTTATAAGAGCTCCAATCCACTCATGAGGATGGAACCCTCACGAATTAATCACCTTCCAAAAGGCTCCCCTTAATACTATCATCTGGGTTTAGTTCCAGCATCTGAGTTTAAAGGGATATATACCTGGAGTGTGTAGAAGCAGCTCCGAAGCCTTAGAGGGGATAAATAAGGCACCTGGAACCACACAGCTAATGTAGGTACTGAGGGGCAGAATTTAAAATAGTTTACTAAGATCTGAGGTTTAAAAAACAATAAACTCATAGTACGTAGAGGTAGATAAGTCAATTGGACAGCTAAATAGCTGATGATGTAATGACATATGACTCTTGAACTGTATAGCATAGTGTTCGTGTAGGTACTAATGACATGCTGGTCTCACAGAGGTCAGCCATCTCATCTCTTTCCCAACAATACAGACACCGAGTTGTGCCCCTGCCCCTGCCTCAGAGTGTCCCTCCCATGGATGGAAACTAAGTCTTGTCAACGGTCCAAAGGCTACCTCTTCAGCAACGCGCTCAAACACATGCAACTTGAGGATGAAGATTACCTAGTAGGAAAGATAGGCACTAGGGAAAGGAAGAATGAATGGGTTTTATTAGGAGCCATCCAGTAGAACTTTCTGTGGGAAATGAAGGTCTTGTTCTATGTCAAGTCCAGTAGCCACTGGCCATGCATGTATGGCCAGAGCAACTGAAGTATGGCCAATATGACGAAGGAACTGAAAATTTAATTTATAGCCGGGCGGTGGTGGCGCACGCCTTTAATCCCAGCACTTGGGAGGCAGAGCCAGGCGGATCTCTGTGAGTTCGAGGCCAGCCTGGGCTACCAAGTAAGTCCCAGGAAAAAAAAAAGAAATTTTATTTAGAATGTGGTTAGCAGCTATCATATTGGAAAGCACTACCCTAACCACTCAGCAATAGCCATGTATATTCTAGTAAACATGCAATTAAATACGAAAGTTTCTATTAGGCTTTGAGGGGCACATATTTGGGTATGCTCAGTCAAGAAATGGGGCAGTAAGTTTCCTTAAAAAAAAAAAAGACTCTGTAAGGTCTTATTTCCAGTTGACACAGTGCCTTCAGGCACATGATTTCATTTATTCCTATAGCACCCCGAAGTGGGGAGGGCAGAGATTATCCTTGCCACAAGATCCAGTAAGTCTGGGTAAGGGCAGCAATGGCCTACAGCAGATATGTCTAGAGGACAATGTTTCTTCTTCTCACTGAACTAATCTTTCTGGTAGGAAAGCACAAAAGAGTGAATGAGCCACGCTGCCTGCTCACAGCTTGGGTCCCTTGGATGAAGAGAGATGCTTTCCTTCCTGGTGCCTCTCCTTAGCGTGTCCAGTTGGCTTGCAGGCCATTATCAAGAACCCTGTCTTCCCCACATCCGACTCCCTTGATTTCTTTGAATCGTTTACTCATATATTCAAAATCACATGTTCAGAAGCACCAGCTATCTCGGAGGCACTGTCCTGGTCTGGAGCTGCATTTGTAAGGAAGACAAAGGTCATTTTGTTGTGGACAGTTTTGGCGAAGGGAGACTGACAAAGTGTATGCCTTCGAATTTTGGAACATTTCAAAGATATTTTATCGTATATACCATGGATTTTCGCATCCTCTGTGGTACATAGAGACATGCATTTGGATGTACACTTGGAACAAACTGCCTGGCTCGATGCAAGGTGGAAACACCTTTTGATTCAGTCTTTTAACATGTGTTGAGTGCCACCTATGTGCAGAGAATGATATTGGGGAGTTTGGAGAGATCCAGAAGATTTGAGACCATAGGGGGTTCCCAGTCTGAGGAAAGAAGAGGTGCATTTCTTTGGGAACCCCCAGGCTGCAAAAGAAGCTAAGAGTCCAGAGTAGAAAGGCAATCGACCCCAGGGCCCTTTTATAATGGGGAATCTCAGTTGAATGTAAAAGAAATCCAGCTGAGTTTGGAAGGAGCTGGGAGGCCCCTCCCCACAATGGGACAAAACTAGGTAGGGGACAGCTCCAAGCGACAAGAACGGGAACATGACAGTACCTGCAGAATGTCTCCGAACAGTGAACCAGGAGGCAGCATCTCCACGGGACGGGTTGGGGCACAGGGACAGAAGGACGCCTTTTAGATTGGGTGGGATTTTGAGGTTTTGCTGCGCACATGAAGAGCTCACTCACGGAGCCAGTCTAGGTAGAGGGTACTTGCTGGGAGACAGCAGGAGAAATAAGGGTGGTAGGCAGTTACCCAAGTCTTATGCACAACCTAGGCAATCACCTCCAATTTAATTCAGTTGAAGACGCAGAGGAGAAAGGAGGCGGAGTCAGGGAAGATCTTGAGTAAATCCCCTACTTGAGACTACAGAGCGACAAGGGGAAAAAGAACATGATCAGGGTCAGCAATGGATTGGGGTGTAGTGGAAATCCCAAATAGGGTCCTCCTCCAAATGCCCAGGTATCCTAACAGCTGTTAAGGAAACCAGGTGAGAAAGGGTTAAGTGTGGCCCTCCATTGATCCAAATGCTTCCTGTGTTTGAAATCCTTCAGGTCCCTACAAACCCTTTGGACCCCGGCCAGGCAGGCATTGTCCGGGGACCGGTTGTGGGTTGTCCGAGCAGTCGCTCAGCCTTTGTTGTGGGGCCACCTCGGGGTTCCCTCTCGCGTCCTGGATAGGGCTGCAGCGTGCTTGCCGGGAGGGGGGCGGTGCGGGAGGCTCGCTCCCTCTCCCTCTTCCTGCTCTCCCCCCCCCCGCCCCCGGCCCTCCCGATGACCACATGACCAAGTGGGCTCGCGGCCAAACCACAAGCTACAAAATGCAGCCCCCGAAGTGAGCGGGGAAGCATTCTCTCCAGCAGCCTGGACCAACGGGTAGTTGCGAGTAGCGGAGCAAGCACAGCCGGCCACTTGGAGAGTTTTTGCCGCTGTCCCAGAGCCACCTAGGCCAGCTTCGCGGCGCTACCCCGCGGAGGCAGAGGAGGCGGCTGCAGAGCAGAGGCGGCGAGCAGGCGCGGGGCCAGCAGCGAGCGGCACTGCTGGGGAGCGCACCCTCCCGCGGTCCGGGAGCCACGCGAACTCCGTGCCCGCACGCGCCAGCCCCGGCTCGGCTCGCGCCTTTCTCAGCGTCCGGGGTGCCCGGCCTCTCCGCCCAGCTTCGGCTCTTCAGGGCCGCTGCAGACCGAGTTGCAGCATGAATCTGGGACTCTGCGTGCAGGCGCTGCTGCTGCTCTGGCTCTCCTTGACTGCTGTGTGTGGAGGTGAGTGAGTGCCCTCCCGCTAGCCTGGGCTTCCTCCGGGGCTCTCTGGAGCTGCAGCCTGTGCTCTCCTCTCTTTCTGCCCCACTCGCGCTCTTCCCGCCTCCCTGAAAGCCCGGCGCGAGTCTTGCAGGCGCAGCCACGCGCCAGCCACACTGGGAGGCCAATTGACAGGGCATCCAGGGCCAGGGGGCGACATGCTATGTTGGTACTGCTTCATCATCGGACCGTGCGGGGTTCGCTATTATCTTGTACATCACCACTTGGCCCCTCCTGAATGCCCTTCGCCGTTTAAGGCTCTCAGGGCTACAGACCCAGTGTCCTGCACCCCGCACCCCACGTGGTGCCGGGGAGGAGGATGGGGGCATGTCCAGCTCACCTCGTGGATTAGCGGAGGCGACTGACCTGAGCCGGTAGCCAGCGCTCCACGTTGAAGGGCTCTGGGTCTTGTAGTTTAGGGGCTGCTGGCAAGTTCAGGGGCTCAAGCGGCTGGGGATGATGTGCCAACATGTAGACGTGACACTTGTTGCATAGTCAGGAGCACGCTGCGGGGGCGGGGGCGACCGCAGTGGCTAGTGGATCCCAGCTGTTGCTCCTTCCAGCCTTTGTGTAAGCAGAGGCAGCCTACTTAGGCAGATCTGGACTAGACAGGGTCAGGCTGGTCTCCTCCTGTACTCCCAAGGTCCTGAATGATCTTGTTCCCTGCTCCATTGTGGGACACCTGGCCCACAGCCTCCATCTCTCCAGAGACTTGCTTCTTCATTCTGGCTTCATCCTCCACTCTTGCCCCAGGTATAACTTTGGTCCCCTGGTCCCCCCCACCCCCCCTGCAGATAACAAACCAACAAACACGGGCACTCCATGCAACTCAGGGAAGGGGGACTTCCTTCACTTCCACATGGACCAGCCTTCCACCTGGAAATTCTTGGCACTGGAACTTGCTTGCCTACTTCGGGTCTTCAGTGTCCCGGGAGCCCCTGCCCAGGCTGCCTGTCCTCTGTGCGTCAGAGCTTCCTGAAGCTGCCAGCTCCCACCTTCAGCTGCCCCAGTCCTGTGATCTGGCTGTCACTGCAGCCTGCCTGGCACAGCAAAAAGGGAAGGTCAGGACCAGGTGGACAGTTGCCAGTGCCAGGGCTGGAGTCACAGGGGAGAGAGAGAGAGAGAGAGAGAGAGAGAGAGAGAGAGAGAGAGAGAGAGAGAGAGAAAGCGCAGGACAGTGGGCTTCCTAGAGGAAGAGCCCAGGAACTTACTTAGTTTGAACCCCTCCAGAACAGGATGGCCCGCTGCCCGGGAGCCTCTGGGGTCCTGGCCAACTCTGCCTGCCTCTCTTTGTAGCCACCTCCTTTCTGTGTTCTTGTTCTTGGCATTGCCCTGCGCTCAGTACATTGTCAGGCTTCTCAGGAAAGCACACTGGCCTGATTGAGGCCTCCAGCCTCTAGGTAGCTGTCCAGTGGTCTCCCGAAAGAGCCGAGCACTGGGACAGCCACCTCCTTGGGAAGAAGGGTGCCGACTTTCTCCCCAGCAACTCCTGCCGGTCAGGCAATGGCAGGAAGGTATGAATAAAGATACCACAGCAGCCTGGCCCTCCATCCTGGAGCTTACACTGTCAACACGGTTGGCAAGACAACCACACCTTCATAGTTTGACTTCAGGCAAATAGTCTGAGTGGTGCCTTTAGAGAACATGATTGGGTACAGAAAGGGTGCCCCAGAGGAGGCTGGACCACCTGGAGCTGCATACTTGCCCAGAGGGTGAGAGGAGGGTATAAGGGAGCCTTAGGTTAGTAGATACTCAGTGAGCCCTTCAGGGTCTAGCTGTTGAGGTATTACTAGTAAAGGGGTGACCTGATTTCAAGGAAGTTAAGCAGGCTGCCGGAACACCTTGGGTTTCTGGTCCAGACCCTGAAACTTCTCGCTTTGTCTCTTCCTTTTACATTATGTCTTTTGCACACCCTAATGTGAGTTTAAGCATCACCCTTACATTTTATTTAAGACTAGCATTGGTGACTTCTAGAACTCCCACTATTTTCCCACCTCTTGATCCCTCCCCGAGCCAAGGAGGGCACTTTCGTGGAGGTAGCCAGCAGCTAGAGCTTCAGGTATGCGCACTCTACTTCTCCTGTGTCCTGGTCTAGAAAGTGGAGCCCTAGAATAACCTTGTCCTTAGCACAGACTTGCACGAACTCTCCACAGCTAGAATCCCCAAAGTTTCAGGCTCAAAAACCATGCTTCCTCTTCTCTTCCGCTTTCTGTTCTGACTTGGAATGTTCACCTGCCTTCTCCCCTCCTCCAACTACACAGACTCCTCACCGCCTCCTGACCTGGGATACACTTTGCTCTTCTGAGTCTGAGAGTTTCTGAGTCCTGGCCAAGTGTCCCTTGGTCTCTGAGCACCGCTTTCTCTCTTTCTCCTCCCCCTTGGCAGCTTCTACTTCAGCATGCAGTGTAAGGACAGCTTACTGTACCCCTCCCACTGTGGAGGACATCACCGCCGCTCCATCTCCAGTTCTAAACTCTAGGCATTCTTGTAACCTGAACCAGACCTGTCAGCAGTAAAGTCCTAAGGCTAGTCAACTGAAGGACAGGCTTCCCAGAGCCTGGTCCAGACAAGCAAAGGTGGCACTGGAAGACAGCCTAGTCTCGGAGAAGGTGGATATACAGTCAAAGAAGAGTGTCTCATATCTCAGAGACACAAGCATTACTACAGAGCAGTGGACAGACCATTACTGGTGGAATCTCTACCAGAGCCTAGGCTTTTAAAGCAGTCACTATGCAGACGAGACCCCGAACCAGAAGATAGCTGCTCCATTCTTGCTGAGGTCGGCATGTTCCTGAAAAGTTTCACAGACTCCTTTTTTTGTGTCTCAGCAGGGTTGCAGTTCAGGTTGCATGAAAATCGAATCCTGTTCTTCCCCTGGCTGCAATTCTCGGCTTGGAAATGCTGTTGCCTCACTCCTATGAACAAGGGCTCCAATCCTCTTGGCTTGAGATTCTCTGGGAAATAGCTCCTGCTTCCTTTTAAGCAGAAAATGAGTTGGAAGGGCATATTGAAGTGTATTGGGGTGTTCCCCATCTCTAAAGGGGAATGCCTTTTGTACAGCCAGGACCTCTGCAGTGATGGGAATCAACGGCCTCTAATTTGTTCTTTCAGACAGGACAAAGCCAGGGTTTCAGGTATCAGCTTATCTGACTAGACTCTGCAGCAAAAGTAGGAAATGAGTGGGTGATGGGATCAGAGTGCAGGAGGAGCCCACAGACTTCCTGCGATGGGGAGGACAATGAGCTCCAACCCAATAGGATGGAAGAGGCCAAGTGGCTTCTGGGGTGGCCACTTTCCCAGGCCTGGCTGAGCTCAGGGTGGATCTTCTCTGCAGGCCTAGAGTCTAGACATCTTCCTGGCCTGAGTCCGCGCCACTGTCAGCATGCTGTTCATCCTGGCTCTTGATTTCCCTTCCTATAGGGCCCTTCCCCCAGTCTTCTCTGACTGTCATAGGCACTTCCAGTCTGAGGCTATGAAGACATGGTGGGATGTGTGTGTGTGTGTGTGTGTGTGTGTGTGTGTGTGTGTGTGTGTGATACTTTCTCCTTCCTGGAACTATCCATACCTATTTAACCCAGGCTTGCTATTCCTCTAGGGTACAATGGCCTGGACCGTTGTTCCATATCCAGTAGTTGAAGGCATGGGCATGAGAACCAAGGTCTCACTTATTTAATGCCCCTAGGGTCCTTCTTCTATATATGGCCATGTGCTGGACACAGTCCTTCAAAAGTGTCTGTGGTTCTGACTTCTCATCAGCATCACATAAGAATCACCCTCAAGGCTCAGGGTAAGCTTTGATGAGATCCTAAAACTTAGGACATCAGCTAGATCAACTGAAGGGGACCTAATAATGGTGGCCCCGAGCCCCTTCACAGATGGTAGCAGGAGGGCAGCTCTAAATTAGTCCAGTCCCTAACCCTTCTCATCATCATCATTCTTCTGTCTCCAGTGCACTAATATTATTTTTTAATCTCAGATCTCATGAATCATAGGTTTAGAGGCTCAGCTGACACATTGACACCCTTTAATCCTGAGCCCCGAAGTGTGGCAAATCAACCCTTGTAAACTCCTGGGTCCTAATGGGCCTCATGGTTTTTCTTGGACAAAAATGGAAGGGTGTTGTAGGGATAGAGGGTGTATGTGTGTGTGTGTGTGTGTGTGTGTGTGTGTGTGTGTGTGTGCGGCAGGCATGTTGCAGGGAGGTGTAGTGTGCTTGTCTGGCTCTGAGTGGAGAGAAAGAACAGCAGGCCTACAGTCTACTCAAAGAGGGCCAAAAGGACACACTTCACCCACTTTTGGCCCAAGAGGATGGTAAATGCCTGGAAATTGTATGCAAGCTGAGAAAAACTTAGAAGATCCAAGGGGCCCAGGAAGAGTATGGGGATGTTGGAGGCAGGGAGAATTGTGGAAATTAGGGGTAGCCAGCTGGATGCTATGTGGAAACTGAGCCAGTGGTGGGAATTCCTTGGTGGATGGCAATGAGACTCAAGGAACAGGGATATAGCTGAAGGCAAATCTGATGGTGTAGGGAACAGAGGCTAGGGAACAGAGGCTGGTATTCATTATCATTGGCCTCAGGCACTGTTGTGTTTCTGAAGGCCACTCCCATACTGGGCATTGCATAAGCATCCTACTCATCTGCTCTTGCCCAGAGCCATCTCATTCCTGCACACTGTCTGCTTCTAGTGTCCAATGGTGTCTCTGGGTACTAGCTCAGCTTTCCTGGCTGGACTTCTGGCGCTGTGAGAGCTGGCAAATGTGCCTTCTCCCTCATCTTTCCCAAGAACATCCTGCACAACTTGGATTCCATTAGGGCTCAGTGGCATCAGATGACTTCTGCACTAAGCCAGATGTAGGCAGATGGAGTCAGGAGCCTGGAAGGGTATAAGGGAAGCCAGGTGGAAAGAATTTGTATCACATTTTGAATAGCAGGTGTGATCTAGAATGGTAGATTGATGGGGTGGTGCCAACCCCAACAGCCTACCCCACTCCTGGTACATATGCATTCATTCACTTGTGCCATATTATTAGCCTCTAAATGTGGTCACAGGCTGAACAGACCCCACTGCAAAGCAGGCTGAGTCAACTATGTCCCAGCCACATCCACAAGGAAGTCTCAGGAGCAAGGATCCCTAACTGCTGCTGAGGCGTCCAAGAAGGACAGATGAGATCTTTAGCACACAGAAGTGGGTCACCCTGCCTGTCCAAGGATGTAAGCAAAGGGAGTCATGGATTTGGTATTGCTTTAAAATATTGCAGCCAAGAAAAAAAAAAAAAAGGAATATGATTCCATTCAATAACTGTGACATCTTGGCATGGGTCCATGAAGGAGCATCGTTGTGATGTTGTATGTCTGAAATGTTTGAAGTACACCAGCTTCATGGGTGCCGTAGGGATCATTGCCTCTGTACCCCAGCCAAGGATAGGCTTGATGCTGCAGAGTGCACCCCTAATCATGACATTTCCAAAGGAAGAGCTTGTTTGTGCCTGTCAGATACATGACATAACTATCCAAAGAATATAAAATCAGTGACCTCAATGGCAAAACGAGAGGCTCTCTCTGCTTGCAGTGTACAAATGGCACATCTTTTCATCAGGGTCAAAAGAAAATTATGAAGGGCGCCACCTAGTGGAGAATTTGCACTATTCCGTGGACTGTGGCCTCCTTTGCTGTCTCCATCATCCATCTTCCTGGCTAACCGATTCTCTCCTCTTCACAGTGCCACTGATGCTGCCTCCAGATGGGAAAGGGCTAGAAGAAGGCAACGTGCGCTACCTGGTGCAGCCCAGAGCTTCGAGGACTGGACCAGGGCCCTGGCAGGGAGGCAGGAGGAAATTCCGCAGACAGCGCCCACGTCTCTCCCACAAGGGCCCCATGCCTTTCTGAATCAGGTATTAGATCCCCTTGTCAGTTGGTAGCACTAAAGGATATGGACAGCCTGCTATTGAAGGGCAGACACAGCAGGGGCTTAGAGCTTCCCGGGAGCTAGTAAAGTGATTATCGAACTCCTCTATTTTATAGAAGAGGAGATTGTGGCCCAGAGAAGGGCTTAGCACTTGAGGCCAATCTCCTGACTCCCTCCCAAGAGCTGAGTTTTGTTTTCCTCCACCCTCCTGCCCGGGATTAGACAGGCTGGTGCCGCTGAGAAGTTCTGGAAGTCTTAGCAGGCTTTGGCTGGAGAGGTGTGCGGAGGGCATGCCTACAGACATCCAGTGTGCACACTTCCCAGGGCCAGGGGTGAACGGGAAGACAGCAGAGAGCCTTGGGACTGTCAGGCAGGGGGCAGGAGAGCTTGGGTGCTAGTGTCCAGAGCTGCGAAAAGCAGAGAAGACTGAAAGGTGGCCGGAGAGAGCAGGGACCCTGAGGCCTGGCTGGCTTCCCCTCCCACTGCAGCCGGAACTAAGGGGGATCATCTCCGTGTCTTGGCGTTGAGTAGGCGTTGAGTGGGTATGACTTCTAGTTCCCCTCTTTTCCTAGGGGGTTCCCTTGACCTAGTATATGTCTGTGACTTCCTTCTGGTCATTTTGTCTCCTTAGGATTGAAGGGTTCTGCAAGTGCTCGTCCGGTGCCATTCTCTCTACTCCACAGATTCGTTCTCTTCTCTGGAACTTTCACGTCTTGCACCTGTCCTAGCTGCCGATGGTCCCGGCTCTTCTCACCCACCAAGTTCCTCTAGTGGCATGGTCCCGCCCCTCATTTGGACGACTCCGTTTCTCTCACAAGGATCCATTTGGCCCATCTTCCTGGCCACTCCTTGGACTGCCGTTGGAGACCCTGCTTGTCCTCAGCCTGCTCCATGTTCTAGTCCCTATCCATTGGCCTTAGCCTTCACCTGGCCCTTCCCTCTTCACACTATCTTGGGAACTGGACAGGAACACTCCCTTCTTCAAGGGATTCCTTCATTCCTTCCAAACACATTCACACTTTCTTGTCAATTAGACTTCTCACGTAAAACGGAGTACAGAGATGTGCAACAAGAGACTTTGGTTGAGAGGGATTGGGTGTTGGGATCCAGAGAAGGCGCCTTGGGGACACTGAAATGTGGCGTGGTGAAGGGCTGAGGAGAATAGCTGCCACGGCCTCTTTCTCAGCTCTCCCTGGCCCTGTCAAGGAAGAGGCAAAGGAGAGGGACCCGTGAAGAATTTTGTCACTGTGTCTTCCCCCGTCCTCATCCTCTGCTCTGAAGCTAGTTCAGTCTCCAAGTCCCAAGGGGAGAGTGCTGAGCCTGACATGGTTCTCTTCTCTCCTGGGAGTAAAAGCTAACTAAGCAGGAGAGTTGTTTTTTGCCAAAAAATAAAAAATAAAAATCACAGAAAGTCAGAGTCCAAAGGACCCTTGAAGATCACTTGCTTCCTTATGCAAAAGCTTGCACAAACAGAGGGCCTGGAGAGGGGAGTGGTCTGCTCGGAGCCACTGCAGAGTCTCAGTGGGGACCAGGTCTCCCCGACTCCCACTTTAGGATATCCTTTTTCCTCTCGATGATGTCCTTTCAAAGCAAATGAAGTGCCTTTTGTTGGGTTTAGTGCAGAGGGTGGCTGGGAAGGACGGGAGGGAGAGGTAAGCCAGCTGTGAACTGCCCAGTGGGAGCATGGATCTGCCCCTCCCAGCCCCGCCTGGAAGATACCCTAAGTGGTGACATGTATGCCACACAGGCCAGGTCCCAGGCACAAGCCCGGGCTCAAGCTACTTTAATTGGGGTTCTCAGGCACTGAATCTATCATTGAGCCCCTGACCCTGGTTGTCATGATCTCCTCCTCTGTAGACTGGACCCTTGTTCTTGTGGATTTGGGGGACGTGTCAGAGGATGGAGAAGGGGTAAGAAAGGAAGGAGAGAATGAAGAAAGGAGGAGAGATGGGAGGATGTGTACGTGGGGTCTATTACCCCACTAAGAGGCCCCATATGTTTTTTTCCCCCCGAGACAGGGTTTCTCTGCGTAGCTTTGCGCCTTTCCTGGATCTCGCTTTGTAGACCAGGCTGGCCTCAAACTCACAAAGATCCGCCTGCCTCTACCTCCCGAGTGCTGGGATTAAAGGCGTGCGCCACCACTGCCCAGCCGGGGCCCCATATCTTGCCAGGAGTCTTGCAGCCCTTCCTTGAAGGGAGACCCTCATCTTTTGCCTGAGCAGATGTTCTTCTCAGAGTCCTCCCAGGAGGGAGAAAAGACAAGACAGAAGCTTGATATTCACTTACATATGTGTAGGGCAGGGGGAGTCAGGACCCTCAAGCCCCATAGTAACCCCAAGATTGCCTATCCACCCCTCCCCAAAGCCTTTCCTTCCCATCTGCTGCTGCTAATGCTGTTGTTGCTGCTGCTGCTACTGCTGCGCTTCAAAGCCCACCCTGGGGAGCTGGGCCAGGCATATCGTCCTCACCCCTTGGGCTTGAAGTGAGGGCTGGCTGGTGCCTCTTCTACTGCTGGTACCCCTACCAGGGACCGGGCCTCCTTCCTCTTTGTGATTTCTGCGTCTCCTGCCTTATCAGCCTGCCATGCCCAGCCCCACAGGGAACGGGGGAGAGAAGAGGACAGCAGCTGAGAAAGAGAGGAGATAGCAAGAGAAGAGAGGAGTGAATGGGCCTGGTGGGCTGTCTTATTTAAAGTGGTTGTGTATGATTCTTATACTAATTTATATAAAGATATGAAGGCCTTTTGAGTTAAAAACAAACAAATTGTCCCTTAACTGTGATTGCCATGCTTGTCAAGATTGTTCTGTGTAAATATGTCTTTATAATAAAGAGTTCAAAGCTGACAATTTGCCCTTACTCTTTGAGGTCATATTCAGGAGGGGCATTCCTTTCCCCCAAGGGCCGTCCTTGTCCCCGTGCCCACAGATTGCACGCGTAGGGAGGTAAGTGCTTGCATCCCAAATTGGTTCTAGGTCAACTGGCCTCAACCCGGTTTGCCACAAGCTCACAAAAGGACTCTCTATGTTTAAGGGCCAGTTCACATAAATGCGAGCCCTTTTAAGTCCTTTGGCGGCTCTTCGAATGTCCCCATTTTTCTGGCAGTGTCGTTTAAAAGTTTTGCTTTTGTTTTTCAGAAGTGATTCATTTAAGGACATGCTGATCAAAGGTGGGATTTGTACTAAACGTTTTGTATCCCTGGTGGGTGTCTACTGTTTTATCTGCTTTGGAATACTTTCAGGAGTTTTTAGCCAGGTTGCCTTTCTTGAAAAATGTTGTTTTCAGTCATAAATACATTTGGTAATGACTTTGTATGTATCACTTTATGTTTCACAAAGTGGAGTTGCTTGATGAATGAGATAGCCTGAAAAATAAAATGCAAGGAGTTCAATACAAGTCGGCCCCATCTGTCTTACTTTTTCATGCTTGTTGTCAAAATGTCAATAGCTTGCAGAATAGACAGGAACATTGGGTACATGCTAATTTGGTTAATAAACCCATTAGGTGCGCACAAGCATACACAATGCAGAGAAAAACACAATGAGGAGACAGAAATTGTCAGAACAGATACGTTTGATAAATCTTGTGAGAAATTCTGTAGACTTGACAAGTATTTAGTGCCAAAAAGATTTAATTTTAAAGAAAATGCCATCAGACAAACTTGCTAAAGAGCAATGAAACTGCTCAATAGGCAATATCCCAGAAAAAGTCACCTACAAGCATGCTTAAGTATCTCATCATTAACAGAATGCTGCACATTGTGCCATGGTGATTTAAAGATACGGCATTTTGTTGGAATTGCCTGTTAGGAAAACGTGTAGTTTTGAAATCACTGGTTTGCCGTTTAAGTGAACTGGTTGTCAGAGGAACTTAGCACATTTAGGCAGAGCTTGGATTTGGGGTGGGCTTTACAGGGATTGGTGACTGGTTTGTCATGTCCCTAATCCTCGCCCCCCACCCCCCAGCTCTCATTTCACATGGAATCAAAGGCAAAGGGGTGGTGCTGGGCCACAACTATTCTGACCTGCAAATATTCAGGCTTTTAGTAGGCTAACAGAACTCTTTAGAAAAATACTCATTTTGTCATTATGACATCTTGGACAAAAAGACGTCACTCCCGTCTTACAGGTGAGAAAACCCTCCAAGAGAGGCGAAGCACTTGGCCTAAAGTTTCATAATTTGCGATTATAGAGTCCACATCATGAATTCCAGAATGCAAACTCTCTAGAGTAGGTCTCCTAATCATGAGAAACATGGTGTTTGGTTCACTAAGTGAAACTGAACTTTGGAGTAGGAGACAGCATGGCCTGGTGGGATCGGAGAGTGAAGAGAGGCTGAGTGATGATTGAAACCAGCCCAGGAAGACCCAACAGCGTCTGGGAAGAGGATCATGAGCAGGGAAAGTAGGGGATAAGAAAGGAACAGGCGCCACCAGGTTGCACAGGGCAAGTGTAGTGAACTGGGTACCAGTGAGTGGGTGTGGGCTTGACTTCTTTGGGACAGAGGACAGGGGAAGGAAAACCGATGTTCCTGTGTAAAGATGACTTGAGACCTAACTAGAGCAGGACCATATAGATTATATCCATTGGAGCTATCTTGACTTGAACAAATACAATAGAATCAGAGCAGTGTTGATTGTCAAAATGCTGAGCTTTCCAGGGATATCCAATCCAGGGCCTTAGGGACACACTTGGCCCAGGATCGCTATCAATGTGGCCCAGCATAAAATCATAAGTATACTTAAAACATTGAGCTTTCTTTGTAACCTGATTATGTGGCTCTTTCTCTTTTTCGTTTATTTATTTGTGGATGTGTGTGCATGTATGTGGGCTTGCTTCTGGCAGTGTGCACATGGAGGGTCAGGTTTGTGCAGTTCTTGAGTGTGAGAGTTGGAGATATCAAGGTCACCCAAAACAAATGCACGCATACTCTTCCAACCTACAAGTCGATGTTAGATACCTGTGCTAGATGAATCAATGGCAATTCACCTGATTATTTCTGGACAAGAGGCCCCAGACTGAGGAGCTGAGGGGGCTGGGCAAAAAACCTGGAAAACATCACAACTTCCAAATCCATCTAGAAACAAGGAAGCCTTTGAAATGACAGAGATTGGGGAAAAAGATTTGGGACATGCATGGCTTTTTAGATGCAGGTATTTGCGTCAAGTGAGCCATGGCTTCTATGAAGCCGTTCTCTTCATACTCTCTGAGTGACTTGGGACCCCTAATTGGGGCTGGGCTCCTCTTCTACAACCAGAGAGCCCATAGGGCCTGGCCTAAGTGGCCATTCCAGGGTGTTTATAGAATTCTGTTTCTAAGATCTAAAGACTATTCAGCTGAATTTCTCAATCCAAGGTTTCTCTCTGCCCAGATTGAACCGGTGCCAGCTATCCACCAAAGAAAATGGTGGAGAAGGCTTAGTCAATACCTTCCTGTCCTGGCCAGCAAAGGCCATTCACTCTGCCAACAGTTCTCTGGAACACCCAAAAGGAAGGCCTTGCGAGGTCTCCTTTGAAAACCTACTTTTCCCTTACTAGTGGCCAGTGTTTGGAGAGGTAGCGTGGCAAGGAACTCCCATGCTGCCGCTTTGGACTACAGCCGAAAGGTCAGAGGTACACGGAGACACTTCCTTGAATGTCTCACCTCAGGGGTCAGATACTTCTTCTGTACAGTGTTTTCAAATCTGTCCCACCTATTAATTACGTCTGCCTTGTCCTACAGAAGCAGCCATAGACAGCACATAAATCAGTGGGTGTGGCTCTCTTCCAACTAAGCTTTATTTACAAAAACACGTGGCAGGCCATAGTTTGGCCAAGCCCGCTCTAAGGAAGCATCAGCCAGTTTCTTCAACTCACCACTCAGACAGTGCCTGGGGCAAGGCGGGAAGACTAACTTTCCGTGGCCAAGTTTACAGTTGAGGGAATGTCATCAACTGCCTGTGATATGACCACTGAGCCAGGGTGTGATCATAGTCTCCCAAAGTGCTTTCAGTGGAAGGAGAGGTCTGACTTTAAGATCATGGGTCAAATCCTGGTACATTTACCCATCTGTGTGACCTTGAAAGCAAGGTCATGGCCAGGGTGAGCCCTCTTTTCCTTCTTGCCCTGGCTGCTGCTGCTTACTTTCCAGTGCTGTGATTAGGACTGCACAGTACCTCACAGGTGCAGGGTTCCACATAGACCTTCACTCCCAGGCCTGGCTCGCTCCCTAAATGGATCAGCCTCACACGAGCCCTGAGAGGTGAATAGGGAAGACATTACCTCCACTTTATACAGGGAGAAAAAAAAAAACGGGTTGAGGAGGTAAAAATCACTCAAGTGCATGGAGTAGCTCTACTTGGCAAGCCAAGCTTTAAACCCAGGGCTAGCCTCAGCATGGGTTCACTGTCCTGCTCCCCAAAGGTCTGCATGCCATGCCAAGTGTGCCTCGGTCACTGGAAACTTCAGCTCTCCTAGACAACACACAAGGCCTTCTCCAGGGACAGATTAGGCCCACGGCATTCTCCCCTGTGCCAGCTTTAGCTTGGACTGCAGCACAGAAGGCCTATCCAAAGATGCCAAGTACTCAATCTGGTGACCCTGAGATGCAATGGTGGAGCTAGACACCTGTTCCAGGAGACTGACTTAGTATTTAGGGATCCTTTCTCTAAGGATCGGGGGCCTGTAAACCTGGGTTCCAGTCCTGAATCTGCTTCTGCGTTGGTTTTCCAGGCAGCTTGGCCATGCCTTTCCTTGGCTGCTTTAGGACTCCCGCCCCCCCCGGGCTGACGTCAGTTTGATTTTACTGACAACTATTCGAGCGTGCGGAGCGGTTGGAAGCGGCCCCCCCCCCCCCCCCCCGCCCCCCACACCAACTAGGCTTTGAAACACCTGTGAATGAATAATGCTTCTAGCTGGGATCCTAGCAAATAGTGAAGGTGCTTCAGGTGCTTTGGCTGTCGGGTGGCGGCAGTTCCGGTCTGGGAGAGGAAATGGACATAGGGTGGGACATAAATTTCAGACTGAGAGGAAGGCCGTTGCTGGGTTATGTGTGTCTACACCACTTCCCTTTACTCCAGGGAGGCTGGTACTCCCTTGTGTTTCTCCCATTGTGCAAACAAAATGCTTTCCTATTTTCTTCAGTTGAAGAATTGGTAGGCCATAGTCGAGGGAGCCCAGTAGCATGAAACTCCCAAGTTCAGAGCTCTAGATCCTTCCCCAGCTTGGCCAGCAGCTGACCATGTGATTCCAGCCAGGTCACTTCATCTTTTGGGATTCCCGTTTCCCCTCATCTATCTGCGTAGGAAAATCTACCAGTGGCCTCCCTATCTCAGCTATAAAGAATCCCAAGGTCAGAGCTGTCGAGCCTGGGAGGCCATTCTGCGAGTCAAAGCCCTTCAGTTTTACAGATGGCAAAATGAGACTCAGACCAGGAGAGTGCCACTTAAAGGAGGGCGTCACTAGGGAACACTAGAGTGCTTCTCAGGTGCCGTGCATGGAGCGTCCCCTGCTCTGCCTTGGTCTCCATCACAATCTTATTCTGTAGCTGAGGAGAGAGAGGCGCCGAAGAGCTAAATCACCCACTAGTGGAAGGGTCTTGCATGGCATATTCAGGTGATCTCAGAGAACTAAACTTGTTTTGCTTTAAAGGAAGGCAATGGCGCTGGAGACTGGATCCATCACTTTGTCTTTCTGAGTCTCAATTTTATCCTTTCTGAAACAAAAATCATAGTCCTTTGCAGGCTTATAGTAACTGAAGTTTCTGAAGTTAAAATGTTTGGTATCGTGCTATTGTTGTAGAATGTCACCTTAACAAGCCAAAGATGCGGTACATTTGTTTCTGCTGCAGAACATTACTTTAACTGTGTAAAGGTGTGTTACGTTTGTTTATGCTGCATTTGTTTAATTGTGTAAAGATGTGTTGTATTTGTTTCACCTTGCCTGCCTAAGGCACCCGATTGGTCTACTAAAGAGCTGAATGGCCAACAGCTAGGCACACAAAGGACAAGCCGGGCTAGTGTGCAGAGAGAATAAAAAGGAGGAGAGCTCTAGGCTGAAAGAGGAAGAACAAGGAGGAGAAAGAGGGATATGCCTGGGGCAAGAAGCCAGGCAGCCGGCAGCCACTGGACATAAGAGAAGCAGCGAAAGTAAGAAAGGCGAAAAGCCCTGAGGCAGAAGGTAGATAAGAGAAACAGGTTTTACGTTAAAAGAGCTAGCCAGAAACACGTCTAAGCTAGGCCGAGCGTTCAAAGCTAGTAAGTCGCTGTGTCATGATTTGGGAGCTGATTGTGGCCTGAAAGAAAAAAGCCTGGCACAGTGCCATGAGCCAGTATCTGCGCACACACACATGTATGTGTGTAAAACATTGCCTCCTTCAGCAGGTGCTTATGACCCCCCCTCCCCGCTTTGCACGTGGAAG